AAATTAACATTCTCATTTCTGTCCCTGAATGTATTTCTCGCTAAGCTTCCAGGGTCCCTCAGCAAGACCCTCCCTTCCCGGCTAGCTGGAGACGTTGGCGGGTCCTTTTCCTGCTGCTGCTTCCCTGGCCAAGGACCCCGCCCCAAAGGCCTCGCAGAGCAGCAGGGGGGCCCCCCCCCCCCACGGGGGCTTGGGCTCCGTTTCTCACTTGGCATCAACCGCTGTGGCCCCTGGCCCTGTGTGTGTGTGTGTGTCTGGGCCCCTAGGGGACGCTGCTGCTTTTGCGCATTCATTCTGTGTCCTGGGGGGTGTGTGTTTCTCCACGACTTTTCTCCCCCTCCCCCCATTTCTGTTCTTCTTTCCCTCATTCTCTTTTTCCGAAGAATCCCCCCCTCCCCCAACTGCACGGGACCTGCTCGATTTTTATGGTGCTCTAAAAGGGGCCTTCATTAGAGGAATGTAATCTCAGCCCAGGGACGGCTAATAACCCTCCTCCGTAAATTGCCAATTGCGGTCTGTCCTTTTTCACGCTTCAGCACAGCCTCCTCCTGTGAGGCTCCAGGTGCAGCCTGTGGAGGGGAGGAAGCGATTATTTGGGAGGAAGAAATAAAGGCCGACCTTCCTTAACGACGCAGGGGCATCACCTCTCTCTCTCTCTCTCTCTCTCTCTCTCTCTCTCTCCCTCCTTACCTTCTGTCTACACCTCGGCCTTCCTCCGAGAGAAACCTTGGATCCTGGGGCTTTCCCAGCCAACCATGGGTGGTTGGATGCCATCTTTGGACCTGCGCTGGCCAGGGTGACGGGGTGTCCCAGGAGAAGGCGTCTGGGGTGCGTCTGGTGGGGATGCCGCTCCCCTTGCTGTGGGGTGGATCTTCTGGGAGACACTTCAGGCCAGGGAAGGCCGAAGCTGGCCGTCATCTCGCCTGCAGCCCAGAGCTAAGCTGGGAAGCCTCTGGCCTCTTCTGCCGGCTTCTACCTGGCCGTTGGGTCAGCCAGACCTAGTGGAGGCTGCTGCTGTTATCCCTTTTCCCAGTCGACCCCCTTCACCTGCCTGGACCTTTTGCTTGGGCAGGTGACAATCTGCCACCAGCCCCTCAAAGCTTCTTTGGTTGCTTGGGGTTCTGGAGGAGGCCTTGGCCCTGTCAGCCTCAACACCTGTGCAAGAGAGGCAGTGTGCGTTCCACAAGACATTTAAACGTAAGTGTACTCCCTCTTCTTGGTCCTGCATCCTTCCTCCACCCTACAGGTGTCCTGGAGGCAGGCAAGGAATCGTGGGAGTTGGAGTCCGGTGCATCTGGGGGACATCCTGGAGGTTACCTGTGAAAACGAGAGGACACTCAGCATCTCTCCTCCCCAAAAATCTTCCCGGGGGTGGGGTGAGGTGGGGAGGTGGCAGGAAGGCGGCTGGCAAGCTGTGCCCCCCCTGCCCCCCCCCCGTGGGAAGGATGAAGGCATCCCCTTTGTTAAAACATCGGCGCACAGTGAATTTCTTCACTTACCGTATAGATCAATATCAAATTATCATGTCTCACATTCATAACTCTTGAGCAAGCCACGATGGGGGGAGGCAAGGTCCCGGGGGAATAAATAGCAGCCGTAGCCCTCCCCGATCCATCACTCCCGACAGGCCCCGGCTCTTCTGCACCCGGCCACTGACAAGATCATTAATAAAACCCCACCAGGGCCGATCGATGGGCTTGATGGATGAGCGCAGGTAGCAGAGACAGGGAAACAGCTGCCTGTCACGCCTGGCTGAGGAAGGGGAGCCAGCGAGGGGGGGGGGGGGACTCTGCCAGCTCCCCCGGGGGCCGTTCAGGGCCAGGCGGGAAGGTTTGACTTTGGCCTTGGAGCCCTGCCTGACACGTCCCTCGAGAGCCAGGCCCAGTCCCACCACAGGCCAGGGTGCCCTTCGCCCGGGGGCCAACCAGCTGGCAGAAAGGGGGAGACATAGGCACCCCGTTTCCCCCTGCAACTCACTGGGGCTGCCCCCCCCCCCCCCCCCCAGCAGAGGGAAGCTGCGTTTTCCAACTCGGTCTTGACCGGGATGTCCTCCATGGGGGTGGAAGCTACCTGAGATACCTGGGTCCTTGATATCCAGGCCTATCTCAGGTACACCAGGACGTGATCGAGCATCTGCCCAGAGGTCCAAGTGGGTCTTGGCCAGCCGTGACCCAAGTAGGGTGGAGCCACGCCGGTGGACTTTAAATCCAGCCTCCCGTGCGTTTTAAGCCCTAAGGGAACGGATTGGCTTGGGCAAAGCGTGTGACACAAATATAGCTGTGATGTTGTGTTTATCCAGATAGGAGGCTGGTGTGTTGTGAAGCCACCGCTGAGAGTGAACACATTAGCTAATGTGTGCAACCTGGGAAGCCACTTTCCTGCATACAAATCCACCCTCTGCCTTACTCAACATTCCCCCCCCCAGGTGCGAGCAGCTTGGGAGGGGGGTTGTGGGCTGCTCTGACCATTAGATTTTGGACCTTCCTTCCTGGCATTTGGCCTGGGGGGCGGTCCGGGGGGGGGGGGGGGCTCTTCCAGCTTTTCTGTTCCCATTTGCATCCCTTTGACACAGACACAAACACCCCTCAAGATCCCCCGGGGAAGAACAGCCGGGATCGAAAGGGGGGCTGCAAAGTTGCAGGAAATTCCCGCTGGGATCCGGCTGCTTTTCCCCTGGCTGTGGCTCCACTCAGCAAGGACGACGGGAGGGGGAGTCCTTCGGGGGTGGGGGCTCTGAGGGGGGGGCAGGATGAATCCAGGCCAGCCAGTCTTTACGAAGGAGAAATCCCTCCTACGGACTTGGCTTTGAGGCTGCCATTTTGCCCTTGCCCCCTGCCAGGGATTGGAGGGAGGTGGGGTGGCAGTTCCTCCCCCCCCCCCGGCACACCCCCCCCCCCAGCGGGGGGGGGGGGGGGGGGCGCTGCGCGCCCCCCCCCCCCCCCCGCAGCCGGTGGGGCCGGGAGCAGCCGGGGGTGGGGGGCCACCCGCCCCCCACCCCGCAAGCGCCAGCCCAGGCCGGGTCTGCAGAGGTGTCCCGAGTCCAGAGGCAGTGGCCAGAATCAGGAATGGCTGGGGGCGGGGAGGGGAGGGTGCAAGTGAATAGTCATTGGGTGCCATCCTGTTCCCCCTGCGCCCCTCGCCCCCCCCCCCCCCCCCCCCCCCGCTGGTTCTGCTGGGGGCTGGAGGAGGGGCCCAAGCCAGGTCCTCCCTCTACTCAAGGGGGCGGCCTTGGCACCGGAGCCAGCCCCCCCACTCTCCTCCCCCACTGCTGTGCCTGTCCAGGAGGGTCTCCGGGTGGACTTTGCCAACCTGGTACCCACCAGAGAGGTGTCCGGGCCTCTTGCCAGGGGACTTCCCTGGCCAAGACCACCTCTTTGCTGTTGTAACACACAGCACAACCCCCCCCCCACTCCTTCCCTCCAAAGGATGCTGGTGCTCTATGAAGCAAAGGGCAAGATTGTAGTGGGGTGTGTGTGTGTGTGTGTGTGTGTGTGTGTCCTCTCCCCCCCTCTCCTGTCCTTCCGTCCAGGCCGCCAGCAGGGGGACTGGCAAGTCCTTGGCCACCCTTAACACTGATGGAAGTGACAGGCTTCTGGCTTTCAGGACCGGCCGGAGGGAAGGAGCCAGCCGGCCGGCTGAATGGGCCTCCCCAGCAGCTGAGCCAGAGGCCCCGGCAGGCAACCACGCTCTGCTCCCATCAGCCCCTGTCAAGGAGGATCTGCCCCTCTACCTCTCAAGTCGCCAGCCCAGCCTGAGCCACGTCAGCCAGGGCGCCAGTGGCAGGGAGCGTCTGCTGGCTGCCCCCCTGCCACCCCGCATTAGGGTCAGGCAGAAGGCGGCTGACGAGGGGCTGCCAGGCAGAAGGGGCCCCCCTCTCCAGCCCCAGCAATTGGATACCTTGCAGACCACCAATGCAGGGGGCCAGGTTCTGGGCAGGTCCAAGCCAGGTGCACCCAAGCCCCCCGAAGGGTCACTTTGGGCAGAGCATGCCCCTTTGCACCCAGGGCCGAGGCTATGAAGAACAAAAGGCAAATTGGCACAGAGAAGGCCACCTCTGCACATTCCCCAGGCAGAAGACGGTGCTTGGCTTGCTTTCTGGCTCCAAGGCCAGAATTGGGCCCTTCGGGGGGCTCCAGAGGGCTGTAGGGGTGCAGGAGCCCCCCCCCTTAGCTCCCTCCAGGAGAGAAGCCAGGGGAAAATGGAGGGGCTGGATGTGCAGAAGCCTAGGAAATTATTCATGGTGCGTAAAAAAGGGGCGTCCAATCCTTTCTCCTTCGCTTTGGCCCCTCAAGGACTCCATGAAGCCGACTGGCAGGAAATTCAAGGGGGCCAAAGGAGTATTTTGCCTTGTGTGATTGTTGGACACGGCCTCCTGTTCCATGAAGTGGCCCTCGTGCCCTCCTGGAAGAGCCTTGAAGCGTGCCTCCCTTCAGGTGGCTGGAAACGCAGCCGGGGCTCGAGGCTTGCCCGTGCATCTGTCCGTCCGTCCGTCTGCATGGAGACACTTCTGCCTTCAGGACGGTGGAGAGCTTGACCCGCTCTGGGCCGGGGAAGGTTGCGGAGCCCCGTGGGAGCCCTTCCCATATGCCTCGTGTTCATCTGGGCCTCCTCTTGCACTTCAAGCTCTCGTCAAGGCCGGGCGTTGATGTGGGGCGACAGGGCAGTGAGGCCAGGATCCGCCCAGGACAGACCAGACAATATCGGAAGCGACAGCCGGAATCCGCCAGTGGCCTTGGAAGAGGATTGGCTGCCTTGGTCCCCCTTCCTGACTGGTGCACGTGTGTGTGGATGCCACGAGATCCTACAGGCGCCACTTGGTCCCCCTGGCTCCCATTGCTCTCCCGTGCAGCCGGAAGTGAGTGGCAGAA